CTACTGGAAAACAGGGATAATAAACTTGGAGAGAAGAAAAATTGCAATAGTGAGAACGAGAAATGGTCAGAGCAAGAGTGAAAGCAGCACGAGGCACAACGAACGGCGTTCGCAAAGACTGAACAAAATGGCGGACGCTCCACTCTATATAAGCTATGAGGGGGGAGCGGGAGCGGAGCTTCCCGCCAAAACTGTTAGCTTCCAATCTTCTGGCCAAAGGCATTGCGCAGGCGCAGCACCCATATGTGTGATGCACAGAAGCCACAACGAAGAAGCTCACTTGCTCTCCATGCTGAGGTGATCGCTACAAAGGAAGGCGACTTTGCAACACGTAAGTCTTAACTAAATTGTGGATAGTGGTTCAAAGGGTGGTTTTGTTAGTGCAACTGATACTACAGATAGGCTCAAGCTGGGCACCATCTGTCAAACTGGAGGGTGTAGGTTTTTGAGTCCTTTCATGAAGCGACAGGATAATGGATGGGAAAATGCAGTATAGCCCTCAATGTGACCACAGTAAGCGGACACTGCAGACAGACAGACTTTTATTAAGGTAGGTTTAAGTCCTGATTGGTGTAGTGAGTGACGGAAGTTAAGTATCATCAGAATGGTAGTTGTAGAAGGGTCTATGGAATGGTCCCTTGTATATTTGCTGAATTTTGCCTATTTTGTGGCATAGAAGTGTCTAATGTTTGGTTGTAAGGCCACTGTTAATATGTTCTGGACCAAAGGTTTCAATTCAACAGAGGCAGTCATGAGGTTATAAGGCATCATGCTGCAAGCTCCTGTTTGAGGCAGAGGAGTTGATGAAGGTGTGGGATTGAAGGTTTGGGTCAGTGAAGTCATAGGATCAGCCAAGCTGTCAGCCATAGGTTCTGTATGTCAGGATGTACAGTAATATCTTCCCCTGAGCCTGTGACAGAAGGTCTAGTATTGTTGGCAGGTGTTGGTAGGTCTGGCTGGACAGACTCAGTAGGGATGGAAACCAGGGTTACCTTGCCCACTATGGCGTTATCAGGATGGGCCGTGTCTCTTTGACTCTCATCTTTGCTATAGTCTTCATTATGAGAGGGAACGGTGGGAAAGTTTAAAAGAAGGCTCCCATCCAAGGACAGGTGAAGGCATCTCCACTCAAGTTCTTCCCTACACCTGCTCTTGAGCAGTACATTGTGCATGCAACATTGGTTTGCATGGCAAATAGGTCTACAGCTGGTGTTCCCCAGGTAAAGTGAAGAGTTTGGTATGGACACAGGGGTTGAGCTGCCATTTGTGTACTTCGGTAGTTGTCTGGCGCAAAGTGTCCACAGTGATATTCTCTGATCCAGTCACATGTACAGCTACGAGTGTTTTCTTTCTTCAGATGTACTAGTTCCAGATGTGTAGGGTCAACCATGCTGGTGAGGTAGATTTTGACCCATTTGTTTGTTTAGGTAAGACAGTGATACTGTCAGAAATCATGTATTTCTCTGCTAGTAGTTGTTGAAATGCAACAAGACCGTTGTACACCACCAAAAGTTCTAGATACAGTTTTCTCTCTGGTCTGGTCCATACTCCTTGAGTCTGGTAGCAGTCTGTGTAGACACCCCAGCTGGTGAGGGATACATCCATACACAGGGTTGCTGTTGGTTCCGTAGCTTGGAATGCAAGGCCCTTGGAGAGGTTATGCTCCTGAGTCCACCACACCAAACTCACTCCGATTTGTGTTGGTAGGATGAGTGTTTTTCATGGAGGATCGAAGGCTGGCTGAAAGTTCTTGCTGAGCCATAACTGGAGGGGGTGCATTCATAGTCTGGCATATTTGACCATTGATACCGCCAACACCATGTGCCCTAGGAGCTGTTGGATCTTGTGAGCAGATGTTCTGGGATTCAAGCGGTGGTTGCATGCATGAGTGCAGTGGTTGCATGCATGAGTCTGTCCATTTGGCCCGTGATAGAAAGGCTTAGCCCAGTATTGAGTACCACACAGATGTACTATATAATCTCTGTAGGATTGAGATTAGATCTTTCCATGTTAATGATGAGTCCCAGACAATGAAGGGTATTACAGGTGGTCTCTGTAGCTTGCAGTAACTCTCATTTTGTATTGGTCACTAACAGCCAAAGAAGGATCTAATTGGATCCCCTTGAGTCGGGAGATGTGAGCACTCCGGAGCCATGCATTTGGTGAATATTCTTGGTGCAGTAGAGAGACTAAATGGTAGGACCCTGAACTCGTATGCATTGGTACCGATTCAAAACCAAACAGTCTGGATGTGTATGTGGAAGTAAGCATCTTTAAATCAATGAATGTGAACCAGTCTACACTCCTAAGAACTACGCTCCTAAGTCCTCAAACTCAGAGGCTTATGGACATCCTATGCAAGATGAGAGATGCAGCAGTGGCTATGTTTGTCTCCCCTTCCTCACACCCTGCATTTTTGCTAGACATCTAGTGATATTTCAAAGCACTGAAAGAAGACTGGAATGGCCTCGGGATGGCTCACCCTCTCCTATCCAGTCTCTTCCCTGTTCTGCCCATCAAAATCCTGCCTTTTTTCTCTTCCCCCTCTCCAAGGTTATGCTACCCTACCTTGGAAAGTCAGTTGCTATATCTTTCCATATGGAGTGAGAGGGGGAAGCAGTCTGAGTTCTAATCCCCAGCTCAGAGTTTGAAGCACTGTCTCCAGCCTCAGGAATATGAAATATCTTATGGCCTTTCCAATGCTACCTAGGATTGTTTCCGCTACTTGCTAACAGTAAATCAGTTCTTCAAAGGCAGTTTGAATAAACAGTATTCAACATGTTACTTCATACAATGAACCATTAAAGCAAAAACCCTATTTTAGGTAAAACTACAGTTTAGTCTTTTAAGAAAAACAAAAAACTTATGCTTAGCAGGAAACTTTTAAAGTTCCACTAGCAGCTGACTGCAAAGGTATCAATCTACAGCATTTCAAATATACTGTGCTTTTTAATAAACTTATCTTCTGTCTTTGATCACCCCGAGTGACCACATTTTTGTAGCTAAAACAGCAGGCTTGAAAGGAACATGAGGTTTGCAAATACAGAATGTACCTTTAGTAATATATATATATTTGCGCAAAAGGGACACTTCAAAAACAGCCAATCTGCAAACTGTGTCCAGAAAATGCTAACAGTTAGCGGAAAAGCATTTGAAAAAAAAGAGGGTAGAGGGAAAGACAAGAAATAACCAAACAGAGAAACAGATTTTTGTCCAGATTGCTTATGCCAGGATCATTGCCAGGAATGGTGGCAGTAATGATCAATGATGAAATCAGAGATGGAATGAACCATAAAGTCATCTAGTCCAGTCTGTACTCAGTGCAGGATCTGCAATGCAAGATATAGTTACAGTGTCCTTTATAGAGGACTGTCCAGTACCTCTGAAATACTTCCATTGAAAGAGAGCCCATGACCTCTAAAACCAGTCTGTTCTCTGTTAGGATGTATCTCTTTATGCTTCCCTCAAATTTTGTTTCCCTGAAATTTCCCTGTCTTGTCCTCTGGAGCAACAAAGAAACCCAAGATATTAACGTTGCTGAGATGGGGCAATAGTATGTCCTCCCCACCTTCCACCCTCCAACAGAAAAAGGAAAAAGAAGAGTTATTGCTCTAACTCAGTTATTATTTAGTTTAATATTAAGAAAAATAGCCCCGCTAATGCAAATTCCAAAGCAAATGCAGTTCACTATCCCTATCCTACAGGGTGTATACGGTCACAGCTTAGAGTGTGGGTCATGACAACTATAGATAAAGAAGGAAGGAATCTGTGCATATATTGAAGTTTTACTGCAGGCAACTACCACCATTCAATCAGCCATTTCCATTGTTAATCTTCTCCCTTGATTTCATTTGTGTTCACATATAAATGCACTCCTGTTATACTTGCCCATCATTCACAGTAGTTACCTCCAATCTGGTGCCTTCCAGCTCCGCCTCAACTTCATCAGCCCCAACTGGCATGGCCTATGATGATGGTCACTAGCATTTGTAGCATTTGTAGTCCTAATACCTTCCAGACTACCATTTGTAGTCTGGAAAGTATCAGGTTGAGAAAGGCTAATCTATTGGGTAGTTAGCAGACTACTGGATCGAAAGGCAAGGAAACTCTTCTTTTGGTTCTGAAATAGGCATCTATCTTGCCTAACTTCTGTAAGGTTATCTCTCATTCAAGTAAAGATTTCACTAGGCTAGAAAATTATCTACTGCCTCTTGGGATACTGCATGATTCAAAAACTGGAGGAACAGAGTAAAATGGGAATATCAACAAATGGGAAGATACTGCTATAGGCAGTATAGCAAAAAAAAAAAAAAAAAAAAAAAAGCTGCAACTAGTCCCCCATATGCCCAAGAGGACTTTATTTCTTGTAACAATTCGTTTTAAATTTAATTTGAGAGATAGGGCATATGAAATTTCCTGTTCAAAGAACAAAAAAAAAGGAATACATCTCACTGAATCCCAGCCAATTAAGCAACATGAACAAAGCAGCAGCAAGGTCCTTAAGATGCTGTTTAATTTGGTATCATTTCTCAAAAAACACCTGAGAACAAGCTCTAATGGAAGCAATTGCAAAAGTAAATCTGCAGTTGCACGAAATAACAATTACACCTTGAAGATACTGTATACAGATTAATTTTTATCTGGGTCAGATTTTAAAGCCACTCAGCTCTGAAGCAACAGATATATACTATATTAAATATAGACTTATAATGGTGAATTTTACAATAGCTAGGCTTTACTTTTGCTGATCTGAAGAGCCCACTGGGCTAAAAGTTGGATCAGAACATTTTAAAATGAATATAAATTGCCTTGCAGTAAAGAAGACATAGCTAAGTTATTCGTAATTAAAAACCACTGCTCAACATTTGGGTAATACATATGCCTGAAATCAAGTAGATTTGCCATATGAATCTATATACAACTATAAAATTGACTGAGTTTCAGAAATATGCCAGTGATAACTTCAGTTATATTACACTGTCATACAATAAAACACTTACCTGAACTTTGACTTCTTGGTGGCTCAGAAGAGGAACTAAAAAAGGTACAACACCCGAATCTATCACCATTTGTATTTGTTCATTGCCACCATCTGTCAAGTATGACAAAGCCCAAACAGTGTCCACAAGAATCTAAAGAAGAGGAGCATTTCATTTGTCAGTGTAAGACTACAGTTAACATATGAATGGAATTAAGTAATATCCCTACATGAGAACTTGTAATTTATGCTCTGAAATATCATTTAGTATATTCTTTAAATCACCCTCTAGCAATATTTGTACATTTCCTTCATACTCTTTAAGGAAAGTTAAAGAGAGCTCCAGCTAGAGGAAGATGGGAGAGCACAAAATGCATTTCCAATTTGGAAACATACAGTGAAGCATACAGTGAAACAAAAGTAGTGCAAAACTTTTTAAGAGAAAGCAGCAATGTAAATCTCATTTGCCTATGAGTCCCTAAGAATGGCAAATGGGTCCTAAGAACACACTTAGGGAGCAATCCGATGGCTTCCAGGCAGTGCTTGGATTCCTGGAATCTTCAGATGCAACATTCCAATGTATTTATTTATTTTAAAGCAACTACATCTTACTTTTCAAGGAAATGACTTTCAGAGTTGCCTACAAGAATTATTAACTGCACTACATCTGGCCTGGCTTGTTCCTCTTATTTTTTCCTTCTGTTCTATGGTTTCTCTTCTTTTAAGTTCAAGCCATATTTCTTACTTCTCCTCTCAGTGAAAGATGAATCATGAATTTTACCCACTAAGGTCTCAGACTGGCTTTTTCCAGGACAAGTGGATTTGATGGATTTGCAAATTGATGTTTTACTTCTAGGGGGGTGAGGGTGCAAATTTTCACCTGTGCCAATATAATAAAATTCCCATACGTCCCTAACAAAATAATCTAGTTCCTTCAATGAGCAGACAACAGAATGAATGATATCGGACAACTCATAAACACAGATGAAATGGATATAACAAAATCTAATATAAATTTAATTGAAAAAAGTTTAATGTTATAAAGATATGATTAAATAGCAAAGACAACTCCTACTTTTATCATTTTTTCTCACAAGAAACAAGCTAAATCATGATGTTTTTTCTAGGAACAGAAACTATATTTATAAAACAGTTCAGGAAGCACATAAGTAAAGTTCTTCAAATATAAAAAGGAGGAAAATTGATATTCAGCATTATACTTACATTTATATCTGTATGGTATATAAGAACACACAAGGCTGGTAAAATCTGGTGAAGAAAATATATTACAATTGTCCATTACTCTTTAGGGAAAGCAAAATAAAAATACATTCAAGCAAAACTAAAATACTATCAGATTAATTTACTTATGGTACTTGCAGTGTTCTCAAGCAGTAGACACCCTACACTGTACACAGTGTGTTCATATTTGACATCAAATATATTGACCCATGAGTGCACAGCAATTTTATCTTACAAGGAACTCATAAGAGGTGGGGGATGGGGAGACAAGCTCACTTTAAAATAGTATTCCTTCAGTCCTATCATTTTGAAAATTCACATCAATCAACAAGCTTGCAAATGGCAAAAACCAGCTACTCATGCAAAACTTATCTGCCCACTAGCCATATGTTTCACTTTTCTGTCTGTAGTGTTCAGCTTCATATTATAAACCATGATGAGAATATGGCCATGCAGAAACAAAGATATTCAATAATAAAATAAAGCACTTTCATGCTCTGTTAGGTTCTCTGTGCTCATAAGGTACAATTCTGCAGAAAAACCATGTTTGCATTGCCATAAACTAATCCTTATATCAAACTAGTCTATGAACAAAATTAGTAAAACATTCTAATTTTCCAACAGTGTGGTGGTGGTGGTGCTTTTTAATGGAAATGCAGCTACAAGAAGCTGTAAATATAGCTGAAATGGTAGCAAGGATGTTTGACCCTTTCTAATGGATTAATTTTTTAAAAATCATCACCACTGCCACTAACTCCAGCTGCTTTCTCAGCCACATTATTAGAAAAGATATGTAGCATTATCAAATACAGCTGCTGTGTAAGCAGGACCCACTGCAACAGAAAGCTAGCAGTTCAAATGGCAACAGTTGGGGGAAAAAACCAGAAACATTTATTTTTGGATGAGGACAGGTCAGTGGAGCTTTCTTTTACAAGCTCTACTAACTTGCCTTATTTCTGATAGGAGAGTGTTTCCACTTGTTTTTGTCAACCTTTTCAACTGATAGCTCTCCACTGCAGCAACAGTTGGTCCCACTTGCATTTAGGCAGAGCAGGATCCTGCTCATGGAGCCCTCCTATTTTCTTCCTTTGAGAAGAAAAACACCCTTGAGGAGGGCAACTTTTTTTTTATAAGAATAGCCCAGGCAATAAATAAATAAATGCACATGGACACTCCCTGTCACTGCAAAAAGAAAAGTGAGAGACAGCTGCTATGTCACATCTGATTTAGCTCTCAGCTTAAATACTGTTGCACTTGTCTAGAATCCTATCTGCTCCTACATGTATGTACAATTATAAGTGAACTGCCATGTATTTTAAAATGCTTGTGCTTTTAGTTTACATCTGTAGCAATCTTTTGTTTAAACTGATCAACAATTTTTGTTATGCTTTTTTATCTATATGATGATTAACTAATCAGGGAGTTTTCCCACATTTTGAGGCTATATAAATGGAAATTGTTTACTTGAGTGACTTTTTTTAACCTGCAGAAACCAAACTAACATTAAACCTAACACTTGTTTCAAAGCTTTTTAGAAACTCACATTAAAACATTTCAAATGGTAGTCAAATGAAATTTATGTCAGGCAACAAAACAAAATGTATACAAAATACATTATGTAAACAACTATTTTTGCTGTTTAGTGTACACCGCAGGCTTCTGTAGCACTGTGATGCTGAGGTAATGGAAATCCAAAAAGGTTGTCAAAAATCACTACATCATTTATGTTGTGTTATGTATTATGTTTTTAGCACCATCTATGACAGGCCCTAATCTGCTCCAACCCAATTTAAAATAGACAGAGAGGAACAACAGAGGAAGATGGAGGTATGGGTAACCAAAGTACTGTTATTACAGTACTTTAATTCCATCTACTTTGTTTTAGTTACAATACAGTATAGGGATGAGGGGGGTGATCCAAAGGCCTCTCAGAAAATGTGAAATTTGAAGAAGATTTTAAATGAAGTAAGAAATGTAGTTGCTTATTGAGGCACTCTAAGGAAAGTTTCCAGGCACAAAGTGTAGCTAGAGATAACAGAAAGTCATTTCAGGGAGTGGGAGACCATTGGATAGTTGAAGATGGAGGAACGGATGAATAGAAATCACAGGTAAGGATGTGTCATAATAAGAGTTGACAGACAAGAGGTGTGAGAACTTTTTACTTCTGTAACCTATGGGAAAGTATTTGCTTTGTTTTGTGTAATCCTTTAAAGATCAATGCTTAAAAGGGCCAACTGAAGACTGCTCAAGTGCACCATCTAGAACAATTCTTTGGTAGTCAGTTATTCTCAAGAATAAATCCTTTTAAAAAACCCTTCCCCTGTTTTGTATTTTGGGCATACTCACAATTTACAGACACAGACCATTTGGTCAACAATCTGAACAATGAGAGTGGTGAATAATTTTGCCTGCTAAGGCTGCATGGATGTGAGCTAGCTCATCATTAGAGGAAAGAATGCCACAGTTAAGATGAGAGATGAATAGAGCAATGAATAAGAATCTTCAATGAAGGGTAATACAATTGTTCTAAAAGGCAGAAGCAACAAAAATTTGAAAGGGACTGAACTGAGAAAGCAGGAAAAGAGGAATGGAGAGAAGAATGAAAGAGAAAATAAATGTCTTATGCCTGATCAACAAAATTACAACATTATCAATGGATAAGGAGAGTGAATGAAAAAAGGAGTGCTTGGAAAGAAAGACGGGAAGATAAACACAATGAAAGAATCTAAGCAGAAATACCAGAGAGGCAGTTAGATGGGAATGAAAGATATAGGATAGAAAGAAGAAAAAGTACCTCACTATGAGCTAACAGAAAGAGCAGTTACAATAACAGAATAATAGAATCTTACAGTAGGAAGGGACCTAGCAGGTCATCAAGTTCAACCGCCTGCTCAATGCAGGACTCAAGTCATCCATCCAGATTTCAACCCAGCCGAACCCTACTTAGCTTCCAGGATCAGGCAGGATCAGGCATCTCAGACTATTGATAGTACTTTAGAAGTATGAATGACTTCCAGCGGTTTTTCTATCAATTTTTATATTGCTATGTTATATTATTATTAATTTAATGTAAACTCCACCTTTATACCAAAAATGTTGGACAAGGCCATTCCTATTGATAATATAGTACAGGCATAATAATCTAATTCTATGGGTTTCGCAGAAGGTAAAGAGTTGTTTCTTTTCCTGTATGTTTGAGACATTCTAAACTGTCAAAAAGAAAAAGCTCAAGGTATATAATTGGTGTGCAAAAAATAATGTAAACTAATAAACTAATAAAATTTGGACTTTAAGGGATGATCTTTAAAATGCTCTATCTCAGACATTTCTTATACAGACATTATAAAACTGGCTTATAGCTCTCATGACACAGACTCTCTGTGTAAGATCTGATGAACTGACAAACTTGACATTATTATGAATAGAATGTTCAGGCGTTATCATTTGTTGTGGTAAAGAACACTGAAGTAACACGGAATGACAGGATGATGGCAATGATTCAGCACTGAAAGATGGGATGTGCAATTTATTGTCAATGACCATGTAGCTGAAAATTCTGAGAGAAAAATGTTTGGCTTGCAAGAGTAATACAACCTTACGCAGTACCTGATCATTTCATTCTGTTAGCACAAATGGCATTGTGGTAGCTGAAATCATGTTCCAAACTATGTGCAGGAGAATCCATCTAAAGTTACATTTGTACAAGATGGTTGCACATCCAGTTGTGCATCATGCCTGGACAATGTGCTTGTGCAATAAAAATTCTGGCAGAACTTCACCAGTGCTAACAGAGCTTGTCAAATGCTACCGCTAGATACTGCCCATAATTTCCAAATGCACAGGCAACACACCTTCACGAAGGAGGATTTCTGTCCTTCAAGCTCCAGTCAATCTGGCTACAGAACTCTGACTTCTCAGCTGTAAACAAGGAGCTAATATCAGGGGCAGTAGATAGGGAATGAATTGTATATGCCCATACTTCTAAGTCAATTTCTTTGGTTGAAGAAGACTAAATAAATTGGTTGCAATCGTTATCTAAAATAATATCAGGTGCTGTTTTGTAGTTCCACTCTTTTCATTGTTGAGTACAAAGTGATTACAAATCTTTCAGTAGTGATTTTGGAAACCAGCTTGAATTTTTATTTTTTCAGCATCATGCTATCACTAGAAGCCTGGCTAAGGATGCAATCCTGAACATGTTTAGACAGAAAAAATCCTGCAGCTCCCATTATGCCCCAGCTAGTCAGGATTGTGCTCTTAGATACCAATGTGTCATTGATTGCTTTATGAGAGACACATATATACACATAAACAGATTTTTCACTGTTGATGAAATAAAATTTAATTGGGTTTAATTTTGTAATTTTTCAACTTTGGGATAAATTTTAGGCCTAACATTAACATTCCCTCAAAATATCAGCAAAACTGGTTGACACAAAAAGGCTGCAAAAACAAATGATGCTGTTAAGGAGTTAGCATCAGCTATCTTAGATGTCACCATTGGTTTTAAGGTAAAAGCTAAAATGGATTGTTAGGTACAGATTTGGATTCAACATGTCAAAGCATTTTTAAACCCTCTCAAGCAAACAAATTACCCATAAATAGCTTCAAAATTTTGCAAACTGTCCTGACTACACATGCCATGTTATCCCATGTTATCTTAGCCGGTATAATTAGATGTTGACTCTACACTCAGATAAGATAGATAAATTCTTCAGATGTGTTTCTAATTTATAACTAGCAACTGAAATGAGGCACAAATAGATATCCATTTAAAAAATGAAAGTACATATGCCATTATGGGAAAACTGACTTGCAGTGAAGCTGAGGTTTACTAGTACTTGGTTGAAATTCTTCCCCACCTTTTGTATATGCATTTTTCTTTTGTTTTCCAGTACAGTACAGTAATTCAAAATAATGCAATATTTCACCTTAATATACATATAACATATCTATTCTTGCTAGATCACCTGGCCAGAATCTATTCCACTAATTGATCAATGGCATCTAGCTATTTTTGAAGACTTCAATTTCTAATTCATTCTTCCCTCCCACAGCAACTGATAATTCGTTATTTTATTCATCACTATGGTAGTCCAAATGTAGATCACCAAGTTTTTATTGGGAGCATCCTTGCATATATTAACATAAAACTAACCATCATAACTAAATCTCTAAAGAACTGATCTTTACTATTACAGAGAAGTATAGTTGTTTAAGTTAATTGTAATTCATAGCCTATAACTTCCCTGATGGTATTTATTACCATATTCTGTTATTCTTTAACCAGACTACAATGCCACCATACTTAGTTGAAATTATTTATTTACCTCCTGAACTGTCTCCATAGGTGGTGGAGGATCCTTATTCCTGCAGAGATTTACAATAACCCATGTGACGTTCCGAAGGAAAGTGATGGGAATGGAGGGATTGATGAAGGATAGAAGAGGTTTGACAACTCCCAGTGATATGACATAATCTCTACACTGAGGACCATCACCTACAGAAATGAAATTTTTACAAAATTACATTCATAATGGAGAAATCTTGAAATGTATGCAGTGATTTATGTCTGGACTTTGATGTTCTATGTTTCCCCATTAGTAACCATTTAACTCTTAAAAATGAGTGAGAATTTGAGGAATATGATTCATTATATAATCAAAATATTTTCTTATTTAACTGTATTGCATCAATTAGAGAAGTTGAAGGAAACATAGTCTTATGGGATAATGCAATGTATATTAGATTTTATAGCCTTCAGTGCCTTGTGTGTGTGTGTCTGTATATAGAGAAAATATAATTAACACTTACCAATAATATTCCCAAGAGCCCAAACAGCTTGTTCACAAACATTTTGATGTGGTGAATGTAGCAGTCGTAAGAAGAGAGGGACTGCATCTGAAACAGTAGTACACTGGACTCACTTGCATGAAATGTGTCAGCCACAGAAAGTGTTGCACTTTATTACAAATCAGAACTTATTTATTTGATTTATATCATGCCATTTTCTTTTTAAAGAACTCAAAACACCTTACATCATTCTCATCCTCCTGCTCCCAATCTTTTTCTCACAACAAAGCATAGAGGTAAGTTGGGCTGAGACTCTGCGCCTGGCCCAAAGTCACTCATTTGGCTCCATAGCCGAACAGAGACTAGAACGCAGACTACCTGAGTCCCAGCCCCACAATCCTAACCACTACAGCACACCGGCTCTTAACATATGTGATATCATAACCATTTGTGAATACAGATTTCAGGATATTCTGCTGATATTAACTGAAAATTAATTAGAAATATGTTCTTGCACAATTACTCTCCAGGGAGGGGGCAAGTAGGAAAAGAGGTATTGACTTTCTGAAATATCTTGGAGAGATACTGTTAAATGGAAATGTAAAATAAGATATAAGTTTCATTCACTAATAGGGAGATTCACCTCCTAACACGAATAGCTTTACTTTTAAAAGAGCAGTTTTTGCTAAAGGCCTTATATTTTGAATAGTCATTTCTCAATGTTCTCTCCTTGCCTGACACAGAAGGGAAGGAAAGACAATGCAAAAGTTCACTGCCTTCCCCACAAACCAAGACCAAATTTTGGGAATGGGAATTAAAGTGTTTCAAATTATTCAGAGTCACCTTTCCAAAGCCAGGGAAAAGAAAGCTGCCAGCAAAACCACCAAAACTTTTTTCAGACTCATGACCTACTTCCTCCCTCTTCCAGACCTATGCTGCAAGAAAGGGAGCAGTATTATTGCTTCTCTCTATCCCATCCTTTGGAGCCCATCTTTTTGGTTAGAGGATTAGCAGATAAAGTACTCCTACTCCGAACCACTGCCAGTCTGCAGCTTTTGTTTTGATATGTGAGGCATGTCTTGACTCTAGCCCTCGTTTCCTATCTATATAGTGCCTACAGTAACAAGGCTATCTAGCTATGATACTACTTTTATGGGTGGAGCTAGGCCTGTTTCTCTCCGAACCAAGTTGCTTCCCAGGATGGAAAAAGTACATAGTCAAACAAGGTGAGGTACAACATCAGTGGGTGGGAGGGGAGGGGAGGGGAGGGGAGGGGAGGGAAGGGCTGAGGTTCTAGTTTTTCCTTGTTATTCCTTTATTTAGTTTGAACATACTATCTAATTCTTGTATTTCAAGGTGGCTTACGGACAGTATTAATAGGAAAACCAATAAAATGACAAAATTATTAATGAAAAAACGTTTAAAAACCACTCCCCATGGTATTAAAAAGTCTGGAAAAACCTAGCGTTGACAGTAAATTTGGTGCCAGGTGAGCCTAGCCCACCTGGCACCTAGAGTATCCTAGTATCCTAGATACTGTCTATCCTAGAGGTATCCTAGAGTATCCTAGAGGGGGTGCATCTCTATCAAAAATATCATCTCTCTAGTTGCCATAAACCTAATTTCAAAGGGAGGGATAGCCAGGGAAAAACCTACAACGCTAATCTCACTTCACAGGTATTTGGATGAGCAATATGGCCTCTGTTAAGGTATCCACATTCCAAGTTGTTTGGTCCTTAAAAGCATAACATTTGAATTGTACTTGGACATACATGCTAAGCAGTTTAAGAATTGCATGATATTATTCTATCAGAACTCCTATGAACAACATTTTGCAATAATCCAGTCTGGACATTACCAAATGGTAGAAAACAATGGTTATCTCTGTGAGAAGGTCTGGGGTACTAGCCTCAGTCAATAAAGAGCACTTTGTGCTACAGATGGCCTTAGAAAAAACACTCCATCTAATCAGTGAACCTGCTAATCTTGGAGAAGTGCAATCACATTCAGAACTTACTGGATGCCACCTTCCTGACTCATTAAACCACAGAATCTCTTGTTTAGCTTCCTTCTCACTGGCACTACCTGCACAAATGAGTGAGCAGACGAAATATGGGATCTAGCAGTTGCTTTCAGAAACCACACCACATTCTCCCATTTATCCATATGCCAATGAAAAATGAAAGATTCCCCACATTATAACCTGAACTATTTTCTTTCTAGAGCTGCTCTTACTGTGCTCCAGTCCAACTCAGCATAGAAAGGCAACAACTGAGGATTGTATTAGATACTGTGCATGGATACTAAGAATAGATGGCAAGTACTAGGAGGAATCTCCAATAGTTGGTGTCCTTTATAATGTCTCAGACATGGAGTACTGGTTTCTTCACCCAATTTTCAAACCAAAACAACAAAAATGCACCAGAGAGCTCAGTTTAACATTTCCCCACATGTAAATAGACTTTCTCTGTTACTCACCTGGAGAAAACAACATGCTTACAAAACAAGTATCCCACACATAAGTAAATTTTTTTAAATCCTTTCTCTTTTAAAGGAAATGCATGAAGTAAAAAAGTCATATATCTATAACACTATAAACAAATAAGCAGAGACTCCTAAAATTAAATCTCTTAGACAACTTACTGGACTGTACAACAGCTTGAGTCTGTACAGAAGTGCCTGATGCTATGTTAGTCAGAGCCCATGCAGCTTCAAACTGTAAGGAAGGACTGTTAAGGAACAAAAAACACCACAGTAACAGTGATATTTGCATCACAAAAAAGCCAGCACAGAAGTTCACTGAAGCATTAATTCAGTATTCTATAATAAAATTACATTACTTATTTTTATTCTTTATTCTGCCACTACAACTTCTTTGAAAAATAAGTCCAAAACCTAATCCAACATTTAATTATTGTTTCTTGAAAAAATGAGATGAAAACTGTTCCACACACTTCTATCATATCAATACATACAGAATCTCTGGAATGAAGGTTGTTTGTATAGCTGCCTCTTTCTCTCTAGATTTTTCATACAGGAAAACAGAATGGTAAAACACACACAAGCCCTCAAAAGCCTGATTTACAAAAGACACAGCAATTTAAGACACAGGCAAAAAGAAATAGAGAATCCTCAATCCAGGCAACCGGAACAAGTGGGAGAACATTAGAGATTACAAAATCCAGTAAGATATGGAAATTAAGTTTCACAAAAATCTGTCTGAGAGGAAGTGGGCCCTGTTGCAAGAAATTTGGAATCCAGTTCAAATTCGTGCCATTAACAAATTTGAAAAGCCATACTCTTTGCCTCAGATATAGTGACCTACCTCAGAGATGTCCTAAGGATAATCAAGTATTCTGAAAATTAGAAGGCTACATTAAAAAGTGTTTCTTATATACTTGGACCACAGTGAACAGTTACCTGAACCAAACAGAAAGTGGAGCAAAGGACTATACTTGAGTACCACTGTATAAAAATGGCACTTTATAAAAATGGGAATTTGGAGAGAAAGTGACCATGTCATTCTTGAGTTCTTGATTCCAAAGGAAGCAAAAGTCAAATGTAGCCAAACATGTACCCTGGAGTTTAGGAAAGACAACTTTAATAAACTCACAACAATGATAAGTAAGATTCAGGGGCAAACAACTCCAATGACAAAAAGCGTCAAAAATAAGTGTGAATAGTTAAGAAATGAAACTCTAAAGGCACAATTACATACAATTCCAATGAGGAAAAAAAAAGCAGAAGACAGGAAAAAAAGCCAATGTGGCTTCACAAAAAGCTTAGAGATGACCTGAAAACAAAAAAGGACAGGTATTGGAAGTGGAAGTCAAGGCTACAAAGAAAGAGTACAAGCAGGTAACACAAAATTGTCAGGAATTCTACAGCTGAGAATGAGCTGAGGTTAGCAAGGGATACTAAAAGCAACAAAAAAGCCTTATTCAGATATGTACATAATAAAAGAGGAAAAAATGGCAGTTCACCTATTCCAAAAGAATGGCAAAATGATAAGAGATGACAATGAAAAGGCAGAAATAACTCAATTCCTCCTTTGGTTCTGCCTTCTGCTAAAAAAGGGTCTATGATCCATCAGGCAAAATTTAAGGTGAAGGGGCAGGATTGTAGTTTGAAACTGACAGAAAATTGTCAAGGATTTTTTATTAATGATTTGACATGAACCTGGTGGGATAGCTAATACTTGGAAGACAGAAACAAAATTTGAAGAGATCTTGACAGGCTGGATTGCTGGACAGAAAACAACAATGAAATTTAACAGGGACATAATGTCAAGTCCTACACCTAGGGGAAAAAATAGTATACACAGTTGCAAGATCGTGGATATTTGGCTCAACTATACTACAAGTAAAAAGGATTTCTGAATTATTTTAAATCACATGCTGAGTATGATCAACAATGCGATGTGACTGTAAAAAAGGCAAATGCTATATTGGGCTGCAATAATTAAAGTATGGCTTCCAGATCATGGGAAGTAGTAGCTTCCCTCTACTCAGCAATGGTTAGGTCTCATCTAGAGTACCGCATCCATTTCTGTGTACCACAGTTTAACAAAGCTGCAGACAATCTGGGAAAGGTTTTCACAGACCTATGAGAAGAGTCTGACAGAACTGGCCATGCTTAGCCTTTAGAAGAGATGATTGAGAAAGACTACAATAGCACTCTTTAAATACTTGAAAGGCTATCACACAAAGGAGGGGTGAAACTTCTTCTTAATCTTTCCACCTTCTACTCCTATAAATATTTTATATTTTCAATAATTAGGTCTCTGTGAAAATAAAAAAAAACATTTTCCCAATAAAAAAATTAACCCAGCTGTGTAATTCTTAAACTACTCTGACATCATGTCATTCAATGATGGCATCTAAAGTATATTCTAAGAAAAGAGGGCTTAGAAGTTACTGTTAGAACAGGAAAGATTAAATAGCATCAATACGGTACTGTTTAATAGCTAATTCTATGATTCACTGAAACCAACTTTGTAAGAAAATCTATAGCACAAATATTTTAAAAAATTGTAGCCATATCATTTGTAACTCAAGTAATTACAAATCATGACTGACATTTTGAATAGGGTTTAAGAGCTGTACATGTGGGTGTTATTCCCCCATGGAAAAAGCCAAAATGCATCTGGGATTACCTATTAAAAACATAGTATTATCACAGCAGACTCAACTCTTTAGGAACAGGAATTTAGGTGAAAAAAAAAATAAATCTGCCTTCCCTGTGCAACTTGGAAGTTTCAGTCTGGTACTTTCAACATCCCCTGACTGTTTAGCATCAGCTGCACCACTTCCAGGCTAAATTCAAGATTCTAAAGAAAAGGGTTTGGAAAAGCTTGAAGAAAGTCAAAAGGTCTTAATCTTATCTATTGTACCAGTTTCTCAGCTACATTTACAGTGGAATTTCAAGATAAGAAGATTTGATCCCCAGAAGCTGTTGAAATTTTCTAATGTGGCTTTGAGCTACCTATTCTGCCTGGAAAGTAATCCTCAAATACTGCTACAGTCTCTATTTAATTTCACTTGTCACTGTCCAGAAATCGATTGGAAAGCTCTGGGCATTTAGACATGGTTTATATACTTTGAGATGATAAAGTTCTGGGCATTTTGCCATCTTCTTCTTTGTTGTTTTTTGACTTGGTTTTCTTTTATCCTTTTTCCTGCTTCTATCTCTTACTCTCTCTCTCTCTCTCTATCCTTTTTTGCTTTGCTAGTCAGCACTAAGTTTAATTAATGGGATGGCTAGTATCTAGTGATGATTGAATGGGGGCAGGGTGTGATGTGTTGCACTGCTGGATTTCTGGGAGCTGAAGAGGGTTTTTTAGTTTGGTTTAGTTTTAGTTGCATAAGGTTCTTATTTCCTCTATATTCTAGGTTTTCTTTTTTCAGTTAAGGTTGTACAATGATATATTATATCCATAAATTATAGCTTGAGTCATTCTGAAACAAATACTTCAGTAGAAAAAATCTGTCTGTATACAATGACAAACAATATATTGTGATTGTGAGCCGTCCAGAGGTGCTGTGGCACAATTGGGCAGCATACAAATGTTCTAAATAAATAAATAAATAAATAAATATTCATAATAATTCCTTGTTTAAAGTGATTTCTTGGAATATCATGGGACTGTGGAATCCAATTAAAAAGGGGGAAATGATTTGTAAACTAAAGGAAATGATGTCTTTTTACAGGAAATCCATCTGATAGCTGCAGATCCATCAGCTGACAAGAGACTGGGTGGGAGAAATCTATGAACAGATATAGGTTTAAAGGGTTAGTGCTCTTGATTCATAACTGACTTCATTTTCAGTTCAACAGAATATTATTGATTCTTATGGTCGATTTTTGATTCTGGCTGAATACAATGAAAAAGTAATGGCTCTGGTTAATGGGTACTGACCAAAAAATGTCTCTCCAACCATGTTCTAGGAATGTTTTAGCAAAAGGTTTGATACTGAGTATGATTATGTGACTGGGCAGAGAGGGGTTAATGAGATCTTAGATTCCCTCCTGGACAGGAAAGCATCAGCCCCTAATAGGCAAGTGGCAGAATTTGGCCTGACTGACCCATGGAGAATATGGCATCAAATGAGAAAAGCTATACATTTGTATCTTCTATCCATCTTAACTGTTCCCAGTTGGATTACTTTTTGATATCCACATTCTTGTTATACCAACAGGAGATTATAAGATTGAAATGTTGGCAATATCAGAACATGTCCCAGTTTGTTTGGACTTGCAATTTACAACTAGCCCAAGGACTGCTGGTGTGTGGCACTTTAAAGTTTCCTGGATAAATAAGTCTTTTAAAAGTCAGATTCCTGCTGTACTAAAAGAATATTTTGAAATCAATGAAGGTACAACCAACTCATGCTGTACTGAATGGAAGGCTAGTAAAGATTTCATCCTGGGCTAATTTGTTGTATATGCTTCTCATAAAAATAAATAGATTAAGAACTTATAAGTCAGTCTGCCATCTCTCCACTTTATCAGGAGATGCAGCAAGTTAAATGAGTTGGATAAAATGCTTTTCATAACGGATAGAAGTTGCATTAGCTTTTTTAAAACAGATTGAGAGAATGATGAAGGACCCAGTAAGATCTTGGTATATTGTCTTTGACAACAAAAACAGCAAGACACTAGTCCAACAAAGATGATAGTGGCAAGATATTTACTCTTTCTGAAGATAGAAATGTTCAATTCTTAAAATTTTATTCAGAATAGTACAGTAGCGGCTGTGAGCAGGGCCGATGCTTTGTTCCTCCTAGGTTAATATTCCCTGTCTAAGCATTCTACAAAGGCAGTTTTTAATGGCAATTTTACAGAATGCTGAAATTACAAGAGCATGAAATAATTATTAACATGCTTAAAATACATTTTAACTACACTAGTTCAGTTCATAATAAATTTTGAAGGATGTCTTTAGTTTATACAGTAAGTACTGAAAAAAGGAACCATTACTTACTTATCATCTCTCTCTAGACATTTAACCAATATTGGTAAAATTCCAGATTTTATTAGGTCATCAATAGGAGGATTTCTGTCACTTGATAATAGCTTTCTGTAAAATTAAAATGAAACTAGTGAATAAAATGAAAAGCTATTCTTTTGATTTTTAACTTTCCAATAAAATGTAAATAGATGCTTACCTTGCAGCTTGGACAGCACTTAGCTGGATAATAGGGTTATCACTTGTAGCATTCTGCAGCGACACATAAACTTCACAAAGTTAAAAAGTCAAACGTTAAAGAACCCCAATTGAAAGAATAAGACATTGTTTAGCAACTTACCTGCAGTATAGCTTCTAGCGTTACATTTTGCTTCAAACAAAAAAAAAAAATGTTTCATTACAATTATTGCAAATCAACAACTCTAGACAAAATGAGGAACAGGTAAACAACAATGCTGCCTCTTAACAAAACTCAGTTTCTATAAATGTCCAATACATTTACGTGAATATAAAGTTCAAACAGGAGAAGTCAAAGGTTTCTAGTTATAGTATGGGGTTTCTTATAATTGAGAAACTTACTGCTTTGAAGTCAGCATCAACATCTGAATCTTCTAAACTTTCTTCTTGGGGCACATTTCTTTTTTTCAAAAGATGTTCATCTCTTTTGTTCTGAAAAGATTCAAGACAGTAAGTCTGAAAGCTTTTTAATGCTGAATAATCCTTAAATTTTCGGGGGCGGGCGGATTAATTGCAGTGCTTACAGAATGAAACTTGTGCAACTGGCAACTTTCTTTCACATCACAAAGGCTGCTACATATGGCATGGAAGAGGGACATTGCTTGAAGTCTTCACATGGGGATTTATTTGCATGGGGAGTGCCAAGCTGCCTTTTTCCACATTGCTGTTGCATGTGAGATGGAAGAGAGATACTGCCTGTACAGTATTCACACAGGGCTTGATTCCTGATGGACACTTCATAAACACTGGGTGCATTTGGAAGTAGCTTGGATTCACAGCTGCATCAAATAGACTGGAATCTGGGGAGTCAAAACCAGGGAATCTGATGGATTCCCATCCCCAAAGCAGATTCCTCACACATTCCTAGTAATAATTTCCAACCAGAAAGAAACCACCAGGAGGCATGTTTATGTTATATGCACAACAAGGCATTGCCCACATTACATTACATCACATCACATCACTAACATCTGGCAAATCCAGCCAAGTGCTTCTCAACCAGCCTCTGTGGTGTCCAAAACATCATTTTTGTTGAATCCTCAACTTTAAATTTACAGAGATAGTGAATGGAACTTTTCACTGAATGGGCTATATTGGGCTTTTCACTTTCATTCTTTCTTCCAACACAGCCATATATCCATGATCATGTAGGCATGAGGTTTTGCTTATGATGTTTCTCCAATAAGCTCAGCTGGCCATATACAAAGAAAGTTACAGGTGACAGAAAAACCAGGAATATTACAGGGTTTTTTTAACAATTATAGTGGCAAAGAAAATATTGATCCAACTCAAGTCCTAAAAAATACAACTAATCCTACTGATGTAGTGTATCAGTTAAGGGTAATGACACATCTGATGAAGCTAGTCATAATCCACAAAAGCTTCAGTTATAATGAATCTATTTATCTAAAGCTGGAATCGCCAATGCCATGCCTATGCAGATTCTTCCTTTTTTATACAAGATGTACTCTTGCTACCTAGGAAGGGGAGGGGAGGGGAGGGGAGGGATGCAGGGAGGAAACAAACTGGTCATAAAGAAAGATTGATGTGTTTGTTACAGGTAGAACTTGTGGATAGAGGCTGCCAAGAGAGAACTTCAAAAGGACCTGCAGAGCTGCCAGCCGACTTGCATACGACCTGCAAAAGAGCTTTTGGAGGTTTTGATCATCAGCATCTTAAGTACAGCCTCTATATTATTGCAGCACTGGCCCAGGCCTTCTCATGCTGGTGGAAGGGCTCTGAATGCCCTTCCTCTGCAGCAGGATCTGCAACAAAGGGGAACTAGAAAAGTGGTTCAAGCAACCAGCAACAGGCATACAGATAGCGCTGAGGTAGAAAACAAGCTCCTTTATTTTAGTACTGGAAGGCAAACTGGAGCATGATTAAGCATTTTTATGCCGCCCCATTCGCCGAAGCCTCGGGATGGCTTACAACAATAAATAAAATGATTATAATATTAAATTCAAAATATAAACATTCAAAATATAACAATCCAAAATATAACATTAAATTAAAAATACAAAAATACGATATAAAATAAGCCGCCCTGGCCAGATAAGACCTTTTGCTCCCTGAAACCAAGGACAAGATGGAATCTCTTCTTCACCTACGAAAGCTTAATAGATTGGTAGGTGAATTTTACTTCAACACTAGTGAAAGTGACTGTATTCTTCATTCACCTGAGGGCAGCAAGCTAGCTTAAAGGGTGCAAGGCAGACTACACTGAGCACACATACTTTCCTCCAGCAGGTTTACAGATCTAAATGGCCACTATATGCTACTTGATATGACTGCCTTGCTCTGTCAAATCAGTAAATCCTAGAGGTTGCCTTCTGCACTCTCTCTTCCTTGCTTACAGCAGCCTATCTCTGCCAGGATAGGGTATCCTGCCATAGAAACACAGTATAAAGCTCTGGGATCATCCTTTAAAAGGAAAATCCATGCTGGAATTTGCTCTTTCAGAAACTACATGCTATTTTTGGGTCAGAGACTGGAGATGTGGCAGAGATCATTGCTGGAGATTCAGCCTCTGTGATTCAACTTCTTCATTTCTTCCTGCAAACAATGATTTAATTGCATGGAACAAAACCAAAACACACACACACACACACACACACACACACACACAGCACTTCCTGAAATAATAAACAGGGAGCTTTGAGAACCACCATGTTTTTTACAAAGCCAGAATGAAACACACAGATGCTAAAAGAGATTAGACAGAAAAAAAGGTTAATTGCTGCTCTTGACTGGAAAGCCACAAGTCTTTCTTGCAAACTTTGCATGGAGTACAACAGCAACTATGGGGAAGTGATTAGCACAGCAAGGTAAAAAGTTTTCCTTACTTTTACATGGCACTCCTCCCACATCCCAAAAGTGTTTGAAGGCATTGTTAATGCCCAATTTCATTTAATATTCATCCCATTCAGGACACATGCATCCTCCCTCAGGGAATACTAGGCTTCAATTCTATCCCGTTTCCTGGGAACAAGCCTCACTGAGCATGGTGCAACTGACTTCTTGCAGCTGAGAGGAAAATGTAGCAGAAGTAGTGGTAATGGACATTATTGTTGTTACCACCACAAGTGCTTCAAAAAAAGGCAACTTAAATCCAACTTGCATGGAAATCCTTGCAGTGTTCCTTTGCAAACAAACAAACAAACAAACAAACAAAGACTCAATGCCTTATCTCTTAAGTGCTCAGTGTGGAAAAAATCAGTGAATAGAAGAAGATTGTTGGGAGTGGAATAGATCTACACAAGAAACTGAGTGTAAGAAGGGAAGAGCAAGCAGTAAAAATGAAAGTGAAATGTTTTGAGCTGAATACTCCACAAGTCTTTGGATCCTCTGGATCACTTTGGCTTTTTTGTGTACAGCCTGAGGTTTATCATACTATTCTTTATCTGGAGGAGAAAACTGAAGAGTCAATTTTGGTGAAAAATCTGCACCTTCTTGTCACCTTCATTACTGCTCTGCACGTTCTTTTTACCACCATGCTTGCTCTGCACTTTTGTTGGAGCCATTATTCAATAAGCTTCACAGCAAGTGACCACAGTTTTGTGAGGAAGATGGCCACGATCGTGATCGTGCAGGGAAGATGGCCACGATCATGTTTGTGCAGAAACATGGCTGTGATCGTGGTTGTCATCCGATGCGGAGTTCACGACCTGAGCCAATTTTTTTCCGAAATTTCTGTTTGCGACCCAATTTGATTGTGAACTGAGGCATTCGTGAGCCAAGATACCACTGTACTCAGGGTCGTAGAAGGGTTACTCTCGCTGAGGATATCTCCCTGGATTGTAATAGCATTGCCACAGAGGGCGAACAGACCAGTCTGAGTGTCTGGCCCTGTCAGAGAGGGAGAATAGGAGTGTTCCTTGTGGTGGCTGGATCCAGCAAAGAACTAGAGACATAGCAACTAAAAAGGCATGGAGGGGACTTGAACTCACAAATGCTGATTACACACACAGCTGCCCTATCCCACTGTTTGTGGTACCAAGGCTTTGGAAAGATGCCAAGCAGGTGGAGATATATTTTGAATCTTCCCTTTTTGGTACCATAGTTGAAATGGGTCCCAGCCTCTGTACTCAATGTTGAAGTCTCTCCTCCAGTTGAATTCAGAGGGTGTTCTTTGGAATGCCACTTGTTGCCATTTGCTTTATGGCCTCTGCCACCTTTGCTTTCTTGGCTTTCTTAGTCAATTTTTTCATTTTTGTGATTGGGGTGGAACAGTTCAGGGTTAGGGCCAGAGCTTCAGGGGGCAGAGAATCCTCAGCTTTCTTAGTCAGCTTCACAGTGTGGATTCGCCCATGGTTAGATCCAGAGCTGCTGGAGGCATCAACTGAGGTGGGGTTGGAGCCTCAGAAATAGAAGGGTTTATCTCTGGCTGTTTGTTCCATCTACGACCTGGAGCATCTTACTGTAAAGATGCATGCAGAGTCAATCCACCTTGTGCCTTTAGGCCTATTTTGTGAAGGCCTGGTGGTAAGGACACTGATCAACAATATATCTTTCACCCAGCTAAAACAGGCAAGGCAAAAGCCTGTCAGTCAGCAGGAGGTTGCTGTCACATCTAACACACTTGCAGAAAGGTGCCTTAGATGTTATCAGGAATGAGAGGAAAGTAGGAAATCAGCAGTTATGATCATGAGGGGAAATGAAGGGTCTCCCTCACCCTTTTTTGATGGAAGACAGGAAAAGTAAGTAGCGTCTTAGAAAAAGTGGAATGGATGAGCGATAAAGTGGATATATAAAGTTTTTGAGGTGAAATAGGAGGAAAAAGCTCAAATTGCAGAGAAAAGAACTTCCCGTGGCACCAGGGAAGAACTGATGTAATGGACGGGAACTCCTACCACATATACTGGGGTGGGAGAGGGGCTCCCACCAAAATGCTCTCAACTATGAAAACTTTCAGATAACAGGCTCTCCAAAGACACAGAGCTCATCTGTATGATGCACAGAAACCATGAAGAAGAACTTTTGGTATCTGTGTTTGATCACAAAGTTAGCCAGGTTCCTTTTCACAGTAAGGAGTGTACTGATGCCAAAGTAATCATCTCGAAGTTTCTTGATATAATGAAGAATCTATTCTGAAGATCTAGGTCTGGATGAAGCCCTCTATCCCTGTTTGGTACAAGTAAGTTGTGGAAACTGAGCCCACTGTGCATCTGCTGGTGAGGCACATGTTGGATTGCCCCTTTGGTACCCATGATAGTGCAGTCAGATGTGCATTGCCTCAAGACAGGAGGGCACAGCATACAATTCCGTGACTTTGGGAGATGATCCAAAGGACTCACCAATCTGGACCATATATATAAGACTATATATCTTATATATATACACACACACACACACACACACACAAATATCTTATAATGGTCCAGATCTCAGTTTGATTAAAATCTGTGACAAGACTTGGTAGTTGCTGTTCACCAGTGGTTTCCATTCAACCTGATAAAATGACAGCTGTTTTGCCAGGAAGAATGGGAAACTACTGCAGTATCCAGATGTGCTAAGCTGGCAAACTTTCCCCAAAAGACTTCTTGTTGTAACTGCCAAAGTTGTTTCTACTAAATAGTGATTTGGATAGGTGAATAGTTATGCAACAAACAAGTGCCAGTTGTTTTTATTTACTTAACTTTTGTGCCATAAAAAAACCTATTTTGCCCCTTTGAGTATCTTTTGCACATCCATTGGTAACAATGCCAATTAAATCTATTTCCTTTCCAGGTTATAACACAATAAAATGTGGACTAGTCAAAGGAAGGAGGCATGAAGACTTCTGCAAGGCAATATAAGTACCATAAAATTCAGTGGGACTTAGTGCAGAATAAATAGGCATGTCAGCTGTTTGACTTGACTATGGAGATGCAAGCAGGTTACACTGGGAAAGGGAGAGATCTATAATTTCTTCTATGGCCTCTTTCTGCATGGAGAAGTGAACTTGGCCATCTCAGGGTCCTGTCCATGCCACTTCTATTCCAAGCAGTGCATAAATGGTACAGGAAGCATACAGACCAAGACCAACTGAGAAGTGCAGAAAAAACTACATCTCCAAAATCTGATCATCTTCTATGTGCCTCTCACCTTCTGATCAGAATAACATGAGAATTCCTCTTCCCCAAGGTGGGGCTCAGACAAGGTAGGAGTGCCAACTACAGACTGGGCCTGCTGACTAAAGGTTTCCCTCCTCTCCTCTGCCCTAGAACTAACACCTCTGTGAATTAAGAAACAATAAACAGCATTCCCTTCTCTTTGAAGTATGTCTTAAAGCCCAACCACAGTAAAGTCAGGTCCCTGGGTGAAGAAGTACTTCTCCAGTTGGTGCCTTAGCTGGGCAGCTTCACCAACTCAAGCCTTCTCCAACTGGAAGGATGCAAACTGGGTGGAACTAGTGGGGGAGAAGAATCCCCACTGTTAGCTCTAAAATAACAGCAGGAATTCTCATCACCCCTCACATTCAAGAAGTTTCTAGGTTTCTAAGATGGACGCACCCTTTAGGCTGACCTGAACCAAACTGTTCCAAGCTCTTATTGGCCACTCACTGAATCAGAGAGCTGATTCAGAAACTTGACTGGAAGCAGGGGAAGCAAAATAGCTCTGATAATGTAAAAGTTGACTTTGGGTCCCCTAATAAAAAAGCATTAAAATGCATGCATCTAGTATATTAATTAAAGAGATAAAGTGTTTTGCAGTACAGAAAGGCTCCAATGGCATACATTGATACATGTACCTTAAAACTTTCATTTCCCAGGCTGTGACAGTCTTGGAATCCAGCCACAAATGCTAACATATCCAGCTCCCCTTTTCCAGAAGCCTGACGCAGTAAACCATTGTTATTGGCACAGAAGATCACAGCCCGGTCAACAGCATGACAGCAATCCCGTGAGTCACACACAAAGTTGAGCTCTGTAGCAGAAACACCTCACAACCACTTTAAACACTGTATGAAGAAATAAAAAGGTGATATACTCACCTTTCTAAGCTCAATTGTCACTTCATTTCTGTGTCTTCGCATGGTCTGTAAAGGAAAAAAATAGAAATACATAATACACACATGAAATAAAGTTTCAGAAGATAATGATGTTCAGCTTAATCCTCTTTAATGATTGTTTAAGGAGCTCATAACTACAGGTCAATCTAGATGTTACAAAGTTAACATCCCACACTGTACGACACAAGACATGCTATAAAGTGGAGTGGGTAGACCATTTAAAAGGCAGTATGAGTAAGCAGAGTGAGCACCAAGCCCACTCCATACTTCCCCCACAGAGTACATTTGATTTGGTTAATAAAAAAGAAGGTAAGGGGGACTTCCATAAAGAGGGTTCCTAGCACTACCAATCAGAAAACATTATGCAGCAATAATGTCTTCATTTTTCATTAACTGACTTTGTGCAGTAAGAAATAAGGGGTAGAAAACACAAGAAGGTTATGAATGGAAGACAATAATGTCTGGAATCCTCCCCTAACCCCCCCCCCAAAAAAAACCTATGAAAAAGAAATGGTGATCATACAATGAAATTCTCATGTGAAAGTGGCTAGGATACCACTACATGAAAGGAGAAAGAATAGCACAAAATAAACAAAAAGAGTTTAAATGAGTTGCAATTTTCTTGCACAAAAAAGTTTTTATATTTGCAGCTGTATATAGTCCTTTCAGGTTTTGCTGCATAGAATACTTCTAATTATAGCACTGGTTATTTTGTGAGCATCATTCTATAGAGTTTGGTAATTAAAAATTGCTGCTGCTAGTTGTAAAGTAAATCATAGAATCATAGAAGAGTTGGAAGGGGCAGAGGGCCATTGGGTCCAACCCCTGTTCAGTGCAGGAGTCTGAGTTAAACTGTCCCTCTCAGATAGCTGTTGTATCTTGAATGCCTCCATTGTCGGAGAGCCCACAACCTACCTAGGTCATTGGTTCCATTGTCATATCGCTTTACTATGAATCTACTATAACAGAGCAATCTTATGCCCCTTAGGCATCCATAGGATTTTGTGGAGTCCCAAGTCCAATATCGGGAGATAGATTCAACATAGGAACTGGAACTTTCTGCTCAGAGCACCCTCCCCACCCTTACTGCTGGCATGGAAAGAACTGCCCAAGCTACTTCTCCAAAGTCGTAAAAGTAACCTTGGACAAGGGGTTTAGTGGGGTGAGGAGGGGAGAAGACTGACAAAGCAAAATACAGTACATCATGGCAGTGTGTCTGCCTCCTTCCCTCCTGCACTGGACGCACTGCAGTTACAAGTACTACACTGTTAGTATTATTTTGAGGCTTACCTCTCTCTCTCTCTCTCTCTCTCTCTCTCTCTTTTTTTTTTTTTTGGCTGAACCTCCCCTATACACTACAGGTTTGGACATGGGAGAAGTGTTTCTATATGAGGTGGGGGAGAATATTTATTTAAGCCTTACACACAGAAATCTATAAACACTAGTCCTCTGTCTCTCACATGCTAGTTTTTTCAGACAAAAGCATTCAGTCATTTCATGTGACATCCCCATGCAGTGAAAGGGCAATAGAGAAATAGCTGCATGTGCTATTCAGGACTGTCAAGCGCGCACATGCATGGGGCCAAGGCCCCATTCCACCCGCCACCTCATGTCCTGATAAGCCCATTGACACAGGTCCTGCTTATCCATATCCCCTCCTACCCAGTGGGGTACCCAGTGAGAGGACCATGTGCCACCACACAGGAAACCAGATGGGTTGCAAGGAGTACAACAGTGGAGCAGACAGCTGCCCAGGATTCCCCACTCCCACCCCCAACTGGGCTAAAAAATCCTGCCCAGTAACCCCCTGGTCCCAGGGACCAGACACTGAATTCAGCAGTGGACAACCCAAGCACTGGGGAAAATATGGATTTATTAAAAGGATGAAATATAGGGGTGGAGGAGACTAAAACAGCTAAAACAGAAATACAAGAAATAAAAGGGGAGTGGAAGGAAAGGGACAGAGATTTGGAGAGCACCAACAATACAAATTACAACCAACCAAAGACACACCCCAACTCCCACCCCACCCCAACTCCCAGGCTTTGTTGGCCACCTTGGACGCAAAATAACAGAGGTCATCCCACCCCTGGCTATACCCACAGATAATGTACCACCCATGGGCACAGGCAGCGCAGAGTAATGCAACATTCTTCAGCACCGAGTATGGCAACAACAGTGGAACCTCTCCTTGAAGAGGAAACCAGGCCTCAGGCTTTATTCCCTGGGTCAGGTGACTCATGAGTCCATGATCGATCCTAGGTATAAACCATTTGCCCTTATTGCCACAATCTCCTGTCTTTGGATATAAATTCTCATGTGCTTTGATGTAATTTACACTCTGTCTCCTTCCTGCATAGCAAGAGCCTAGCTGATGCTCCAACAACTTGGGGTGCCAGTGTCCCTCAGGGCAAGCAACCGGCAATTTTAATATTTTACTCCTCTTTTCAGTTAACCCTTTCCCACCTCACAGAATCTTCAACCAGTTCACATTACAAACAGAATGTTATAAACTGGCCCACCTAAGTCTTTCTTCACCTTAATTAGCAAACCATAACCAACATTATCATCAACTTGCACACATTTTATTTATTCCTTTTTCTTTTATTGTTTTTCCCACTTTTCCTAATGCCTTGTCCAAAAACTATTTGGACTGGCACCTTTCATTAGTGGAACTACAAACTGTGGTGCATTGTAACTCTTCGACTGTATCAGGTATGTTATGTTAGTTGCGAAGTCGTGTCCGACCCATCGCGACCCCATGGAAAAGATTCCTCCAGGCTCTCCTGTCCTCCACCATCCCCCAGAGTCCACTTAAGCTCACACCAACTGCTTCAGTGACTCCATCTAGCCACCTCATCCTCTGCCGTCCCCTTCTTCTTTTGCCATCTATTGTGCCCAGCATTAGCCTCTTCTCCAGGGAGTCCTTCCTTCTCATTAGGCGGCCAAAGTATTTGAGTTTTATCTTTAGTATCTGGCCTTCTAAAGAGCAGTATCAGGTATAGCACCTCTAAATAGAAAACTCTTCAAAGATACAGCTAGAGCAAAAAGAGGAGAGAGAGGTCAACTGTTGGGGTGGGTGGGTGTTGCACCTGTACAAGGAGATACAAGTCATGCCTAATTTTCTCATTTGAAGAAACTGAGGTTCACATTTCATTTCTGACGATCATTATACAGCTGTGGAAAGAGCTCTGTCACTTTTCAATTAAGTGAGGTTTCATGACACCTTTTTTATGAGCTGCCAAATTATGCTAGCTTATTGAAACTTTTTACAACTACGTCCATATTTCTACTTGGTTTCTTTGAGAAGTCTGTGCAGTAGCAGCATGTGCTGGCTAACATAGTTCTACCAAGTATTTGCCCAAGTGGATGTGCATATAAGTTCAAAGTTATCATGATATTTTTAGTGGCTTTTAAGCTGTGACCATATAGTTTTTTGGCATATATAAAACGACTGAGCATGTGCAATGCCATGCTTAAACAAATATGGCTCAACATGAACACAACTATTCCAGTATCACAAAAAGTATCACAAAGTGGTGTTAATCCACAAATAGGGTAAAATTGGTGATTTTCTAAAAAAGTACACAATGTATAATCAGCTAGCCTTTCTGCTACATTAATTACAATCTATTATATTTGTAGTAGTTATTAATAATTAACATGTTAATGCACTGTAATTGCATTAAAATACAATCGATACTATTTTTGCTTATCTTTATGCATAAATATACAATATGTCCTTTGTAATGTATTCTATCTTCAAAAGAAAATATAACACATATCATGTATGTGCTATATAATATTTTTAATGTAGGTATGGCACATTACATATAGTATACAAAGTAATATATTACATAAACTGCATATAGAAGATACTTAACATATAGTTGGCAGTCTGTATTACACACTTTCATTAATAAAGCTAAAATAGCTAAATTATGCTCTTGGTGGCCAGCATAAACAAATTGTATATTCCACTTGCAAGGATGGATTCATGACTTGGCAGCTGGTCTGCTTGTGATTCATGAATGCACATTTCCTCATTTCAAAATACTCACTCTAGCTCAGAATTTTGAACAGAACCCTTTCTAAGATCTAAAAGCAGCCCTGCTAATTTTTCACCAAAAATAAGTGTTCCACAAAGTACAGGAGCACTATATATTGGGTTGATTGTGGGTTATTATGTGTAAACCCAGCACTATGGTTCAACCACGAACAATCCAGATTTGAAAAACCAACAATAAATTGTGGGTTCTCTTTCTAGATAATTTGTGATTAACAAACCATAATTCAACCACAGTATAAGGTTCCTATGTAACAGTAACCCACAATTCAAGAACAACCCATATTCTGAGTTGTTGTGTGCAAGCAAGCCCACAATGAACATTTTCAGATAATGAAGAATGCAAGTATGCATTCAATATGCAATACCTATTGCAACACTGTTTCTATTTGGGCATGCTTCACACTGAAGCATGTGAAATATGAGAAAAGTTAAAAAGACATCATATATTTCGTAGTTTCTAAGTTTAGCATCTGTACATAACTGCACTATCTGAAAAGTGCTGCTTTTATGAAAAAGGGTGCAAATTGAGCTATGCCACTGCACTGCTGTGAGTATACACAAGCAAGGACTACATGAAAATATTGCAGTAAGGAGTGTTCCTGTTCACTGTTTAAGCAGACATACTCTTTCCCAGGATTCTCCATTCCAAATGCTCCCATCGTATGTTAAACATTATCCTGTGACTACTCATTACTCATTGAGTCGTTTGGGGGGTTCCTCCCCTGGCATCTGCTTTTCTGAAGGGTTTGTTTTGGTTTTTAGGACATCTGCAAACCTCAGAGTTTTCCTAAGCCTGCCAATGCCTCCCTTGTGCATGTGTGTGTGTTGCAGGTGGATACATAAGCAACAACATTAATGTCTGAACAACATGAAATCAGCCCCAAAACAAAATGTTGCAGTGCATCCTTGGTGGGTGTGTGTGTGTGTGTGTGTGTGTGTGTGTGTGTGTTATCTAAACTTTTAAGATGGTTAACCACTACTCTAACTTGGCTCTTGGCTCTTACTTCATGTACAAAATAAGGTTTCAGGTTAGTTGGGTTTTTAAAGTTTTTGAAAAATTAAAAATGCAACCAGTCTGTAAACTAGCTGATGGACCATGAGGTTTTTTTGAATCTACTTGGGTGTTGGATTTGACCTAGAAGAAAAGTTCAAGGGTCAGTTTAGATAGATTGAACCTTATTGGGACTTGTGAAGCTTAGGACGTTTTGGACTACAACTCCCTTAGATGTTTTGGACTATAACTCCTATCATCCTTGAATACTACCAGGTGCTGATGGGAGGTGCAGTCTAATATATCTAGCAAGCACAAGGCTAGGGAAGGCTACAGTGAGATACTGTGGATTTTGACTAGGAATCTAAACCAAACTGGCAAATGACCCAGGTTGGAATACCCCTTAGTCTGATATAATTAACCCTTCAAGCAATATATGCAGTTCATATGCAGAGCTATGCATAGTCTGACAGCTGTCCTAGCAGCTGACATTGTCCCCACCCTGTCTGAGTAAAGTCATGTCCATTGGCTCTCCTAGGCATGCCTATGCCATGGTAATGCCTCCTGGGGAAGGAGTCTATCCCCTCTATTCTCCTAAGAGAGATGCCCCTCGGTATGGGAGTGGGAGGCAGCCTCTTTCTGCTTCATTAGCAACATCCTTAAACATTCCTTGGGTTTCTGAATTTCTAAACCAGAAAGAGTGCCAGCCATTAGTAATTTGGATTGCAACTGAAAAATTTGTTCAAATCATTGTAGAACTGACTCTAATTTCACACTGGTGTCTTTAGCAGATTATCAGTTCATTTGCACACACTCCTATTCTCTCTCCAGTTAAGACAGCATTCTTTGTTGCAGTAGAAACATCTACTTGATAAAAATGAAGTTTTTATGTGAACACTGCTTAAGTACTACATGAGAGAAGTTGTGTGATATTTTCACATCACTGTTAGTTATTTACTATATTATCAATTCACCCAATAACCAATATTCTATAAGAACACTGCAGAATTAAGGAGCTACTTTCCACTTTGCTCTCTGTTCTTGATTCAGCCATTCCCTCTGGTTAAAGCTTCACAACTGCTTTAGTTGCTCTTTTTATATCTTCTTTCTTTCTTATCATTAATCTCAACCCCAGTACATGTCCTCACTGTGTGTTTATTTAGGCAGAATGCATTGTCTACCATGGTCTTACCACTGATTCCCTGGGATAGAAAAGAAGCAGAATCAGATTCCTCTCCTTCACATGAATATTCAGTATTTCTAATGTTCCTCAAGCATTATTTTCAATGCCATAGGTACAGAGGACAGTCTGTACATGTGAAAGAAATCTGATATCCTAGGTGAGACTGCTCAGCTTTATTACAGTTGTGCCAAATCAATCAAAGCAAGAGGGATATCTTGAGGAAAAATAGCATTTCCCAAATGCCTAAGCAGGCCTCATCAATGTAAGTGTAGAGATTTGATCATTATCTGTAAAGCATAAGGAACATTGCTGCCACACATATTTTGTCTGCCAATACATCCTAATGTGCTGCTATGTTAGTATTAAACCAAAAGATCTTTTATTGTTAATTTATGTATCTGTTGCTACCTGCCTTGAGTTCTTTAGAGGAAAGGAGGGATATAGCATTTAAATAAATATACAATAGCATTCTGTGGAGTTCCAGGCATATACTTGAGGTCAGGATGCCACTCTCAGTTGAACAGCCCTCATTTGTCACCTCTAGATTAGAGGCCTAGTTTTATCAAGACTGCTGTTTACATATGATCAAGATCAAAATAAATGGATCTACAAATTTCCTGCCTTTAAGGCACAATTGTATGCAATGTATGGATAGAAATATGCCCTACGGTTCCTAGGGTAACTGGGGAAACCTAAGCATTTATGTCTATTCTTTTTAAGCAAGCATAGAATTGTGCCCTTAAAGATGCAAATAGCACAAGGTTATTCTAGACATGTCCTTGTTTGAATGGGAATTGTAACTGCGTTTTAAAAAATATAATTCAATATGAAATTCAATATATGCTACACACAAAGCAGATCTTTGATTTTTAAGGGTAAATATGCATAATACTGGGTATGGCATATTCATTAATAAGAAAACACAACCATATTCAATAATAAGAAGCTTTGTTTAGCTTACTATCACAGCTAGATAGTGACAAGTTGAATTTCCATATAATTCTATTGCAGTAAAGTGATAACTAATAAAGCACTAAGATAAGTTTCTCTATATGTTAATAAATGTTCAATAACTTGCCTTATATCTACCTGACTTTACACAAAGGATAAAAGCAGCAATAGTAGCAATGCATACCATACTCTGAAGCCTATAACCTGAAGTTATATACTTTTATGCTGCCATTATCAACTACAATCAGCTTTAAAACTCAATGGTAAATAAACCTTGACATTATTTGGGCTTGGTAGTGTCCTCTTATGATAAGATAGCAGTGATTCCCTCCTCAATTGGCTTAGACAGGCATGGGCAATTTGTGGTTCTCCAGATATTTTGACCTATCAGTTCTAGCCTGAATAGCCAATGGATTTTGATGGCAGTAGGCCAAGGTGGCTACATCACACCTCTACTATCAAAGGCAAAAACTAATGCAGATCTACTTTGTCCTACTATAATTTAAGGATAATGCAGAGTGTGACTGTAGTGTTATTTATTCAGTTTAGAAAGAGCAGCAACAGGGCATCACGAAGCCAAATTTAGCTCCTTCTTAAGTATCAGCTGGATTCACAGTTGACAATCCAGAAGCAAGCATATAAAGGTACTGACATTTGGTAGCAATAGGGCTTGCAACTCATTCTCTTTTAGAGATGGGGAGCTGGCCCCCATCTTCTATCTCCTCAGTGGCCCTCATAAACTATTCGCTAGCCATGGTTATAAAACTTACAATCTTTATGCATATCAATTCTGAGGAAAGCCTCACTGAGTTTAATGAAACTTACTCCCAGATAAGTGTGTATACAACTGCAGCATAGGTAACTAACTTAATGTTCTTGAAAGTTTAATTTAATATTCAATTACTGTGTTAGTACACACACATTAGACAGTGCCAACTACATATGGATACACCATTCTGCAGCTTGATCCATGCCTTCAGAGCTTACATCTCTCCTCCTACCCCATCATGGTCTATTTTCAGTCCTACGTATCAGAAATTGGCCTACTTAAGAATCATAGTAGAGTTGGAAGGGGCCATGAAGGCCATTGGGTCCAACCCCTTGCTGTTGCAGGACACCAAGTTACACCATCCCTCTTAGATGGCTGTCCAGTTTCTTTCTGAATGTCTCTAGTGTGGGAGAACACCCTATAATAGGGCCTATAGTTTCTCTTTCTTGTACTTGTAATTAGTAATGGGACTGCTGCCATATAGTTGCTTAATCTTCTTTCGAAGAGATAATATTATCACCATTTCAAAATGTAGTTCACCATAAACTGTAAGCTGCCCAGAGAACCTTCAGGTTATGGGGTGCATAGAAAGGGAATTAAATAGAAAAATAAATAAGAAATATAATTTAATTAAATTCATTTAAGAAAAAGAAGCTCCTGGGTACTTATACCCAGGGTATTACCTAATGCAGGGTATTAAGAATGAGAAACAATAAGAGGAAGAATCAAGCTTGGTGGGAATTCTATGGGGATGTAAATTGGCTGTCAAAACCTAGGAATTCAGATGCAATGGTGAACACACAAAGAAGCACTGCAAATCTCTTTGAAAACCCTCACCACTAAAAGAATTTAAGTGGCTGAAACAGATTACATGAGCCCTTATAAGTATACCATTTTGGATCCTTTCAGCACCCTGCGACAAAAATAATGGACAAAGAGGCTTCCTGTGGTCAGCCAAGACCCAAATTCCAGTGTCCTACGTGAATCATAGGAAACGTGTCAGAATCCCTAGTCACAAGTACCAGGAGGTGAACAAGAAAAGTACAGGAAATCAAATTACGACAATACTGTGATTATAGTGATGGTGGTGGTGATGATGATGAATATATATCATCATCAGCCTAGATAGCCTCTCAGTCTGGAGAAGCAGCAAATCCACAAAGAGTCAAACTGGCCCACCGCTTGCCTGCCCACCCGCCCGGCTAACGGAGGGAAACTCAGCACCAGCTGAAGGGGTGCGCAGGAGAAAAGGCCAGGCCCGAGCACCAGATGAGCGGGAGGAGAAAGAGACCGAGGCGAGGGGAAGGAGGTCTCGCGTGCCGGTGCGCCTCCGTAGGTGGTCCGACCACCGGGCACAGCCATCCTCCCGCGCTCCGCGAGAGGCAGGTTCACGGCGGCCGGAGAAGCGAAATCCAGCCACTCCCCCTGAGAAGGGAAGAGGCCCCACGAAGCCTATCCCGAGCCAGCACAGACCTCCACGTCGCGGCCCTTATTCTTGAAGCTTTTAAAGCGGTGATTCTCCAGGCCGCCCGTGGCGGCGGCGTTGTCAGCCATGACGACGGCGGCGGCGGCGGCGGCGGCGGGCGGCGGTGGTCCTGGGCTGGAGCGGCGGCGGCGGCGCGCGCGCGAAGGGGGAGGAGCAGAGGGGAAGAGGGACGCTCAGTGACGAAAAGATCAAGGAACGGCTGATAATTGCGCATGTGCGCCTTCTCAATGGCTAGGCGGGGAAGTGAATCCCGCAGGAGGATAGAGAGCATGCGAGGTATAGAGTGACAAATGGTTTGGAGGGAAGACTTCCTGGTTTCGCTTGGCACCGCTGTTGAAATCTTCCCTGGGAGATGTGACCGCTGTCGGAGCAAATCGAGGATTTGACTGGAGTGGATGCAGTGGCTGGATTTGGGAGGGAAAGAAATATTAAGGTAATAGGGAGAAGGAGTCTGCTGGGGCGTGGAATGTCGAGGAAGAAGCAACCGGGATGGGTCAGATAAAGCAGCTCGTGGCTGTATCGCGGGGACAGAAAGTGGCTGGTTGTAGGCCTTAAGTCAAGATTAAGCCAGGAGAGATCTCCTGTTTTGAAAGGAGGGCCGGGATCTCTTTTCGATCATCTCAGATGCAGGACACGGAATACTGGGCTCAAGAAACGGGAGGCCAGATTCTGGCTGAGCATCAGGGAAAACTTTCTGAATGTTACAGCAAGCAGCAATGGAAGCAATTAGGGAGGTCGTGGACTCTCCCACCTTGGACACATTCAAGAGGCAGTTGGATGCTTCAAACTGAAGTCCCGCGTTGAGCAGGGGATTGGACCCGATGGCCTTACTGGCCCCTTCTAACTTTTCTATGCGATGGTTCCAAGTTTATCCCCTACTACTGCATTCATCACCATGATCTCTCATATATATGACATACACTAAAATTGATACTTTGTTGCCCATGGAATTACTGTTTTAACTATTTAATCTCAAAGTGAGGCAAAGTATGGGAACGCAGCAGTATGAAACCTTTTCCCAAAACACAGAAACAAAGTGAGTCAGAAGGGACCTCCCGGGCCATCTAGTCTGGCAAACAAAAGGTAGCAGCAAAGACAGGCGTATCCACTTTAATTCTAGTTTTGTTTCACTTAAATTGCTTTTCCAATTAAATTTCTCCATCATTATTGCTTCCATATTGCAAGGATGGAGCTTGTGTGAAAAGGAATGTGGCTTATGACAGTCCTACAAGGAAGTCCAGAGGAAAGCAAAGTAACAAAGTGCTTATAATACGCTGGTGGTTTTTTAAAGATAAATGCAGGGTGTAGAGGGGCAGGTTGCCCAGACTTCCAACACTTGTTCCCTCTTCCACTTTTTCATTGGGAATTGCTCTGTAAACTTTCCCTTGAGTTTTGAAGGGCTGCTGGTTAATTGCAGTTAAGTCCCTAATAGAAAGCTATCCTACACAATGTAATTTTGGATTACTGGGCTGCCTGGGTATTACTAAAATCTGGATGTAGAAGGTGAGAGGTGTTGATCTTTCCCAGCTCTCTCTGCCTGGAAACTTGGTGCAGCGCCAAGAAAGCTGAGGGGTGCTGTGGTCTTTCTGCTTTCTACCTCCCTCTCCAGTATTCCTGTTCAACGGAGTATTCTTTTTTAAGGTTTTTGCCTGGTGCTAAGCACTAGAGGCAAACCAGATATTCTGTTGATTTACTGCCTGAGCTGAGAAATGTGATCTCAAATTAGGACTGAATGTTCTGGGTTATTCTCAACGCCCATGCCCAGGCTAACATGTTGGGGTGGTTCAGGATCTCATGCCCCCAATGAAAATGATGGGGTTGTTTCAAGTTGGCCCAGTATATGTAGCAGGTCATACTCTTGACATGAAGTGTATTCTAATGATACAGTGGTTGGAACTGAACAGATCAGGTAAGGTAAAGAGACAAATACAATTAACATCTGTCTTCCCCTTTTTTTTAATGTTTTCATTTTTATAAATGAAAGATAAAAAACATTAAAAAGTAACATGAAAAAGAAACGAAAAGATACCAAGGGACCTTACACAAAAATTACATATCACACTAACTGTGAGAAGTCACACCAAAGGTCTATTCTTATTACTTCTATCAATTTTAGGACTACAGTTTTGACTTAATCATACTTGGTTATTACAAAAGAAGAAAAAGAAGCTTTAACACGGGTATCAATTATAGTACAGTGGTACCTTGGCTCACAAACTTAATCCGTCCACAACTCTGGTCATGACCCAAATTGGTCGTGAGCCAAGTTAAATTTCCCCATAAGGTTCGATGTAAATAAGGTTAATCCGTGCATTTGCCCAACACTGGAAAAGTGAAGAACCACCCACCGATGAACTGACCCTAAAAAAGATCTTGGACTGTGCAGAAATGGACAGATTGACTTTGTCACTGAAGGAGAAAGGAGATACTGACTTCTATCAAACCTGGGACTCTTTTTATTATTGGTTAGAGAAACGGGGCTTCGCATAGATTCAAATATGTTTATAAGTTAACATAAAAAGAAAAAATGTGGGGGTTGATCCAGTAGGTCCGATGTTTCTGATGATTGATGTTGTTTTCTAGTTTTTCTTTGTATTAGTTTATTTAGAATAAAACTTATTTTAAAAAAAAGGTTAACCTGTTCTGTAACTATTTTTTTTAATCAGAAAAATGTGAAGCAAAGTGACAAAGAACAGCAAAGACTGCGGCCATCTCCCCCTTCCACCCCAAGTACAAGCAAGGCCATCTCCCCACCCTCCCAGCACAACTGTGATCACGCCTGTCTTCCCTGCACATGCCCGTCATCCCAGTGCGTTGTGGCGGGGGAGAAATGGGCATGATCACGGGCGTGCTGGAGGGGAGAGATGGGTGTGAACACAGGCGCACTGGGGGGGGGGGGGGGAGAGACGGGTGCAATCACGCTGAGCGGGGGGAGATGGCCTGGATCATGGGCATGCTCCTGCAGAAAAGACGGGAGCAATCTCAGCCATCTCCCCTCTGCCCCCAGCATGATTGCAGCCATCTCCCCACTTGGGGGAGGAGGGGAGATGGCCATGGTTGCGGTCACCACCTAATGCAGAGTTCACAACCTGAGTCAAAATTTTTATGACATTTTTGTTCATGACCCGATTTGGTTGTGAACTGAGGCATTTGTGAGCCGAGGTACCACTGTAATTCATTTTATAACATATTCACAAAACCACCAGCAATTAATAATTTGTTTTTTTCCCAAATGAAACAGTATCATAATAAAAATTTAGGTTCATAAATCAGTTATATTAATTTGCTCATAGTATACATGATCCTTAATAATAGCATACTTTCCATTCTTTTTAGATTTAAGTGGTGATAAATCATTTATATGGCAATTATAATTCACTAACAATGTCTACATGTTCTGGTTTTTTTCCTTTCGATTGCTAAATAAAGTACATATAATCATCTGTCTTCCCCTTCTGATCCTCTCCATTTCGGTGGTAACTAGAATCATTCTGCTCCTTCAAACTTGCGGTGCTGTTATCATTGAGTGGATTGTGGAACAGAAATCTAACCAGGTTTGTGTTAGGGTTGCCTACCAGCCTGCCTACCTGAGCTGTCAGAATTGATCCCAGAATGGTGGTACTGAGGATGCCCAGGATGACTGTCCTGGATGACTTCAAAATTCATTTAGAGCAGCTTGGGACTTCATGATGGCTATGAAACATTGGCTTGCCCCACTCTCCCTTACATATGTGAATACACAATTTTTGGATCTGACATTGATGATATGGATTGGGGAATGGTGTTCAGAGAATGAAGAGCTTTGCTCCAGCTACATTGTCATGGTTAAACCATTTCCTGGGGAGGTTTAGACTTGTGGTAGCTATCCTCTCTGTAGGTGTGTGGGGATGGGGAAGGAGGGCAATGAAGAAAGTCCATCTTCAATAGATTCCTTCAAGCCCTGAGGGAGCTTCCAGTTGTCTTTACTGGTGTTCTTGTTGAAATCCTAAACACTCTGTGGAAAGCAGAAATGACTTGAACAATGCAGAGCTCAGTTGGCTCCATGTACCAGAAAACTTGCTAAGGTGAAAGAGGTTGAAAATTGGTTGGAATGTGTGTGGCTGAAACACTCAGTGAGTATAAATATCAGCAACTGCAAATTATTGGAACCATTTCATGGTAGTGATGATAGCAAAGAAAAAAACACTTTGCTGTCACCATTGCATCTTCAAAATGTTGACTGGTGGAACATCGTCAAGTGGTGTGGCACCTACTTCGCTCTGGCCCACAGGGATCTGTGTGGTTGCCTATGGAAGCCTGCATTGGGATGCTTGAGAAGCCATTTCACAATTGCATTGCTTATAACCACAATTTATGACACTGCAGTGGAAACAGTTGTCAGTGAATATGTCCAAACCATTATCTGGTTTGGTTTTCTGAAATGCTTTTCAATACCTTCAGCTGAAGGATGAAGACAGAGTGTGGCCGATCACCTGAATGCTCAATTTCTGCCTTTCTTGGTGAATAATGGGCAAGAGGAATTTGTCTGGCTGAGTCTAGCAAGTGGTTAATGCTTTATTCCAAAAGAGGGTAGTCTCAACTGCCTTGAAGAAGGCAGGCATAAAATCATTCTTTCAGAGAATTTCTCTAGACTCTAGGAATTATAAAAGCCAATTGCAAATATTCCCTTTTTGGGCAAGGTATTCAAGCAAGTAGTGACAATACAATTCCAGGATCTCTTGGATGAAACAGTTTGTCCAGTTCTATTTCAATTAGGTTTCACACCAGTTGCCATTATGACAACAGGCAGATACTCCAGTCCAAATGGTAATGACTGGGTATTTCTAACATTGGAGGACAGGTTAAAAATATTATTCTTTTAATTTGTAGTTATGAGTGTCTTTACTTATTTGCATTCTGACTCTGGTGTTACACTGTATACTGTTTAGCTTTTGTGCAAGTGTTTTTACTTTTCTAAGTTGCAGGCTGCCCTTGAAAGATTCCTGTTCTCTAAAATGTTAGGGCAAGCACACAAAGACATGTTTTGTGAATTGGTCATGTGTTATTTCCTAGTTTTGGTCTGATACTGACATACTAGCAGAGAGTCAGTGGGAGTGTTGATTTTCTGGAGACTCTTAGTAAGTCAACGTCAACCATGATATCCAC